CTTCAAGGGTCATAAGGTGAGTCTCCAGTTTTAATCTTCTGTAGGTCTATTTCAAATGGTAGAAAATGTCCATAAATAGAAGAACAAGTAATTAAAGGTCAGCTTTAACCTGGACATCTTTTCTTTTTTCTTTGAACCAGTAGATAGTTAAGAGATCTGTTATTTTCTTTAATTTACAATGCACTGGGAAGTTTTGTTAGAACATTACTATTACACATATTTTCTATTTCATGACTTCACAGTCATTCCTCATGTGTCTACCACATCAATCCAGAACCTTTCTCACTAAGCCTACAGCTCTCTTAGACAAGAAAAGAGAAGCAGCTCAACTACCTCCATTAGACACGGGCTCTAATATCTTCTCCCCTCTCTCTCAAGACTTGATTCTGGTATTTGGATGCTAAGTGACCTTCTACTCACCTTGAAGTGCCATTCTAAGCCCTGGTATTAAACTGTCTCTGTTTTATGCCCTGCTCTATTTCTCTATTTGTAGCTATTTTAGACCAGGTTCTCCTGAACATGGAGTAACATGCATTTCTCTATAACTTCAAGCCCTAATTTTCAGATTCTCCTTTTAATATCTGGCCTAGTAGAAGGTCCTCCAGTGTCCCAGATGTCCCAGTGCAATCTATTTGCCCTTTTTTGTTATTGTTGCTTTGTTTTGAATTTGGGTCATGATACTTACAATTTTGGAGTCTCCTAATAAGGCTTCCATTCAGAGCTGGCTTGACAGACTAAGCTTGTGAGTGACAGTTGGGGTTGAAGCGATAAAGGTGGAGTGACAGAAAAAGACCTCTCTAAATCAAATATCAGACCTGGAATAGTGATGGTAAATAAAACCAGTGCTGCTGGAGGCTATTCTCTACCATTTATTTCAGTGTGTTTACTTCATGCGTCTTGTGTTACATAAACAATGGTGTTTGTGTTATTAAATGATGCAGCAGAAGCGACTTCTGATAACCCGTGAAGAGATGAGTGTGTTTATAGCCACCTTGAAACTTTAGATTTAGGTTGGGCAAAGGGTAAGTGAGCTGGCTATGGTGGAACACTACCATAATCCCAGCATCATAGAGTAAAGGTGGAAAGATGACAGATTCAAGGTCAGTCTGGGTTACATGAGGCTAGAAACCCTACTGCTGTACAACAGTCCCATCCCTGTAGCAATACAGATATCTTTTTAACCTGTCCATTCTTGTGTTAAGAATAGAATAAGACAGGGCTAGAAAGATGGTTCAACAGTCAAGAGAATGTAATGCTATTACAGAGGACCAGGGTAGGTGGATCATAGCTTCCTGTAACTCTAGCTCCAGTGGAGGTAAAGTCTTCTTATCTCCCTGTAAGCCAACATGCATTTACACATACACAGATGCACATGCACACATAATAAATAATAAAATATGCTTGAAAGAAAGACACTTTAAAAGACTTAGATAGCATATGGAGTAGACAGATGAACAAATAAGGAATGGTCACAAGGTCATACTCTCTTGAATACTCCTTCATGTTTGTCTTCCCTGTGGTAAGTAGCTCAATTTCTGACTGAGCTCAGTAGGATTCAGAAGTTAAAGTTCGATAAAGAAGTGGAAGGGTGGAGCTGGAGAGATGGTTTGGGAATTAAGTGCATTGGCAGCTCTTACAGAGGATCTGGGTTAAATTCCCAGCACCACATGGTGGCTGCCAGTGGTCTATAACTACAGCCCTAGGGACTCTGACCCCCTGATCTGGCCTCCACAGGCCCTGTACATAGACATACATGCATGTAAAATACACATACACATACAATAAAAAAAAATCTCAACATGAATGGATGTGTGAAACCTTAGAGAAAAATTACAGAATAAAAGAAAGGGACCTTGAGATAGACTCTTATCCCTCTTTGTTTTCAAGAATCTCCTGGTGTTTGCCTCTAGACACCAAGAAAGGCAAATTATACCAAACATCTGAATCTACAGAATTTGAAGGCATTCTATGTAATACTGAATGAAACATGCCTTAGAGATTGGATTAAATGACAATCTAGACACTGAAGCAGCAATAGTACAGATGACATTTAGGCAGGAGTAGTTTTGGTGGCAATCTTCTTAGTTTGCACTTTGCTGTTCTTCTCTGCTGGACTGAAATATGCATTATTCATGATGAGGTTCAGAACATCGAAGATTTGTTTATAAGACTAGGAAGCCAGACAGGGCTTGGCAAAACAGGACTGCAAAAAAATCTGGAAAAAGAACAATTCTGGGAAGAACAGGTGTTTAAGTCATGTGTGATCCATGTGACCTGTGAGATCCACTCTAGAACCTCCTCCTTTTGTAGACCTGAATTCTTCTGTTTCTGCCAGTTTGTGACAGGCTTGCTTCAGACATTCTTACAGTTGACTTCGGGGCATTCATCTGATCAGCTGTGTGCACTATCTTTGCCCTGCCTTCTAGTGACTGCTTGGAGGTTCCAGTCCTCACTGACAGTTCCGCTGCTTTGCCTCCCCATATTTAACTTACCAACTCAGCCACATCACCATGAGCTGAATTTTACCTTTTTGGACTTTTTTTTTTTTTTTTGGTTTTTCGAGACAGGGTTTCTCTGTGTAGTCCTGGATGTCCTGGAATTCACTCTGTAGACCAGGCTTGCCCCGAACTTAGAAATCCGCCTGCCTCTGCCTCCCAAGTGCTGGGATTAAAGGCATGCACCACCACAGCCCAGCTCTTTTTGGACTTTGATTCTTCTTCCCTACATTCCTAGGATTTGAAGAATTGTAGTCAGGCTTACATACATTTGTGCTTTGTGACATACTAAAAGTTGTTTGCACCCAACATCTGTCCATGAAGATGCTAAATTTCTGTGGAAGAAAGCAAAGAGGACATCCTTGCCATAATGAAATTTGAGGTCCTATCTTTATTGGATAAATTAATACATACTCAAATGTATCCAATTCCTGTCCTCTGAGACATGCCCAGAAAATACCTGAGGTACCCAGGTGCTCTCTTGTGTGAGGAAAAGTTTCATGGATTCAGGGGCTGCTTGGGACTGTTTGAATTCTTGTATTACTAGCCCTAGAAAGCATAAATAGAAGCAAACTGCCTTATTTCATGCTTATGTGACCACAAAGCTCAGCTAAACTTCATCCTGGCTAATGTATCTTGTGCTAAGATTCTCCAGTCTCCTCAAAGTTAACAAGACTTTGCCCATTCCCTCCAGTCTTAGAGGAGAGCTAGCACACATGGTTTACCTTAGGAAAAAGTACGAAAATGTGTGTGGCTTTCAGTGAAGAGGGAGTCCTGAACCACCTTATCCCCTGCAGAGAACCTGATCAGGTCACTGCAGCCACCTCCCTCGGGTACTGTTCTTCTATAAACAGGAACAGGAATTCTTGCCACTAGATCCCTCTTGTCAGGCAGGCGGCTTAGGAGCACTGAATGAAAAGCCCTGTGGAAAGGAGCTGTGGCCCTAATAATAACAGACACGGTACTGTTGGCTATTCTGGGGAGGAGCGGCTTTGCGCCGCTCTTGATCTCTATCGAGGCTTGCCATTCTTGCCCTGCTGCTACCTTTAGACTTCCTATTCTTAGAATAGATTGTGAGCCCTGAGCTTGGGGGATTGCAGCCCCCAGGACTGGAATGCCCAGCTTGAGTGGAATGCAGACAGTCTGACAGAATGGAGGTTAAATAAAGTTTGCCCTGTCAGCCCCTCTTCTCTTGGATGGATAACAATTAATTTGGATATAAGAGCAGTGGTATGAGCTGCCATGGAGTATAGTCCCAAACAACCCTCTAGACATAAGTAGAAGAAGTTGGTGGTCTGTCCATGAGCAGCATAGCCATGCTAGTCTCCAAGGAGATATGTACTAAAGAGGCCTCAACAGTGACTATGTGTCACTATGAAAAAATACAGAAACAAAAAGAATAATGTTGACATACCTTCTAAATTTTTAGCTGAGCTCCAGAATTGGCTTATCTGCTCCTTAGAAATCAAAACAAAGGGGAAATCTTCATAACCATGAAAATAGATATCAATCAACAAACCTATCTTGAGCCACAAGGTACTCTAGGGGATTTTTCAAGTAGTCTAAGACATAGAACTCTGGTAGTACTAGTAGTCTAGTTAAAAAGCAAAGCTATAAACACATGGTAAAGGAATTCATATTTCAGAGTGAAATATTAGCTACACACCTTTGCCACAGCATCTAGTGCCAAAAGAGGCATCAGGAGGAGAAGTCTTCTGGCTGGGCCTCTTGTGGAGGATTTCATGCACCAGTATGCAGATGCAGAGAAGAGAGGCCAGAAGCAGTATGTGGGTGTAGAACATCCTGAAGACAAGACAGAGGCCTTGCAGGTCCCCTTGCATACCAGAATGGCAAGGAGAAAAAGTAAGAGAATGTGTGAAAATTACCAAAGCCTCAACTCTTGGGCAGTGTCTACAGGTTACTGAGGCCACAATGGTTTTCACTAGAGCAGAGATTAAAGTTGGGTGCAGCCCTGCTCCAACATGAGGACACTTTAGCATCTTCTCAGCAGTGCCTACTGTAGTATTATCACAGTTGCTTATCTTGAAATGATATGATCCCAGTGTTGAGCTGGCTTGGTTTCCATTATGAAGATTGATGTTGGCACTCTCAGTCTATCAGGATGAATATAAGAAAATGCAGTGAAAACTAGTAAAGCTTATAAACACCAGAAATCCATGGCTCACCCTTCTTGAGGCTAGGTGAGGGTCCAGACACTGACAGACTCAGTTATATTTTGATTCACAGACTCTATCTTCTGCCTATGTCCTTACATGGTAAAAGGTGAAGTGTCTAGAGGTTTGTATCTTTTTAGAAAGGGCACCATATTCACATTCACAAATGCTGTGGCCCACATTCTCTCTAATTACCTCAAGGCCATGCTCACAAATACTGTCCTCTCACTGTTGATATTTTAAAATATAAGTCTGAGAAAAAAGTTAGACATGCAGCCCATTGCCTTGAAAATGCTGGGTTTCCTGAGCTTTCTCCTCTCTTCTGCCACAGGTGGCTAGAAGTGCAGGTGGCTAATCTAACATGTCCCCAGCGTTGGGCACAATACCTCCGCCTTCTTCGGGAATCTATCTGGCCTGGTGGAGTGCTACCCAAGTTTCCACGGCCTGGAAGGACTCAGGCACAAAAAGCAGCTACCGAGAAGCAGGCTTTGCAGAGCTTGATGGGTCTCCTTCCAGGTAATGGGATCAATGAGATGGTGACCATGGTAATGTATAGTCTTCCTCCCAGCCTGCTTTGCCACCACTGCCTGACATCCTTCCCCATCTCCAGAAGGACACTCAAAGTCCAATTGAGCCATTTCTCCAACTGATGGAAAGGTGGTCTCGGCTGTAATTCTTCTATACCTCACTCAAGTAATAGCAAGGAGTGGAAGAGTCACTTTGGCCACAGATACTAAGGGAAAGTCCTGTAGACACGTGGGTTTAAAACTCTGGGGCAGTTCCAGAAATCCGTTACTGCAGCGGCAGATATCAGCACCATTCCTACCACATGAAGATGTTAGGTTCTCTGCCAACATGGAGTTTGGGGACCAGAGAAGAACATGATGTCTCTTGCAGAGCTCACACTCGATGAACTGTGTCCTTAGCAATAGTAAAATCACAGCCTGAGAAGGGTGTTTTTCTTTTCTTGTGTTGTTTTTCAAGGGCAGGAAAAACAGTCTGTTGTCTGTGGCTGTTGTAATGGGAAGAGTAGTGAACTCAACCTCAACAATCAGCTTGAGTTTTTCCAACCTAAACAGTGACATCAAAAATAGTCCTGCACCTTTGTGGCAAATTTTAAAGTCCTTTTGAGGTTCATTCTTAGTTAAACACTCAAGATTGTCATGACTTTCCTCTGTTCTATGGGGTTTCATTTGGCTGTGTAGCTTAAGGCTAAGCCAAGCTGTGAGACAGCAAAAGTTCTGGAAGATGCTCTTCTTTGAGTCTAAGGCTGAAGTGATAACACAACTGTCTCATTTGTTTGTTTAACTTCAGATTTTTTAGTAGAAATCCTGGGGGTGAACAAATGTCAGCTGAGCTGGAGTCTAGTCTTGGAATCATTCCACCAGCCCCTCATCAACAGGTAGGCTGGAACATGCAAGCCTAACCAGCATAGGTAAAGCTGTCTACTGTTGTGGGTGGCAAGGTTGGTAAGCACAGAGCCCATTCTCAGAGCAAGACTGCACTTGACATGCTGACCAAAGGGTCCAATATCTGATTCTACACACACTCAGTGGAAGCCATGCTACTGACTTTGGAGTAGATCGTGGTCAGAAGCAGCTGTAGGACCATCCACTGTTTGTATTTGGAAGAACTTAGTGCAGACCCAGCATGAACTACTAAAAATGCCCTGTTAACCTCCAGGCAAGAATATTCCTCATATCTAAATGTCATAAAATGTTATACTTTTTATACAATTCCATTAGCACTTAAACACTATGCTGAAGAAGTATGATCAGTGGTTCTTCCTAACATCTGCAAGTCCGTATAGCAGAACCTACCCTGGCCTTTTCAGTTCAGGTTCCCAGCCTCACAGCAAAGCTGTGGTTAGTATTGAGATCAGAAATTGTCACTGTTTAATGGGATCATAAGGGAAGAATCATATAAAGGGACTAGAACCTAGAAATTTTCAGAAACGATAGCTTCCATCTCTAAGGCTGGAAGGCTTTGAGGAAGTATCAAGTGCCCTTGCACCTGCCCTCCCAAGCCCACGCTGTAATCTCTCAGCTCTCAGTCCTCTGGGATTCAGTTCATGGAGGGTAAATCCACAGGTATGCACCATCACACGCAGGAGTCAGCTGTAATCTGACATCACAACAGCTCTCAAGTTCTACAGAGTAGTACTAGTATGCTGGCGTAACCGTAGATAATGTCATTTCATACAGTCTGGTCTCGGGTACTATCCTTGAGCTGTAGCTTTCAGTTGTGCAATAAACACTGATTCATGGCAACTGCCTCACAGATTCTGCAGCTTCTGGTAATGTTGAGGCCTCTTAGAGTTCTCTATAAGATGGGAGCTGTACAATATCACTATAAGGCAGGCCATCTTCTCAGTTGTTTGTTCTATGCATTTGTTTCAGACATTTGATTTACTGCCTTGGAGACATTATCCTGGAGTTCCTGGACCTCAGTGCCTCTGTTGAAGAGTGTGCCCCAACCACCTCTGCCTCAGATTCCCCAGGCAGCCTCAAAAAGATGGCTGTTTCCACTTAGCTAGGACACCATCTCCAAATGCTTGAAAAAGAAAGCTGTTCAACTTCCAGAGACAGCTAGGATGCCTGTGCCCTCTGGAGCTAGACTAGTTTAGCTGGCCTCCATCTCAGAGGCTGTTTCCCTACCAGGTCTCCCTTAGAAGCACGTGACAGAGCTACATAGCCTATTTGCATGTGTACCTGTTTCCATACTATTTGGTATGTGGATTGCTGCAGGGAAGAGGTCTTGTTTCCTTGGGAACAGAAGCTTTGAAACAGAGGCTTTTCCTTTGTCTTCTTCTCACCATCATGGTTTGCCAACAGTTTGGCCCTGCGCATGTGTGCACCTAACCCACAAATGTACAAGTGGTATGTAATACAAGAGAAAACTATAACCAGATTTCCTGGGAGGAGAAATAGTCTTCTGAGCTCTCTTTTCCTACCTGGAAACTAAATATTCATTCAGGATCACTCCCTCACCCTGACTGTTTTCCCAACAATTCCAGAAGAAGAGGGAAGGAAAGTATATCTCCAGGGACTTGCTCTTTGGCTATTTTCTGACCCTGTGGACTTCTAAAGGATGTCAAGAACCCTGCTTCCTTGGGTGGCTATACTTTTCCTGTCCAGAAGGCTTCAAAGTACGTTGTCAACCTTCTGGTAAATCTACCCCACCCTTCACACCCTTTCCTGTGAGGGATTACAGAGCAGATTTTCTTAGCTTTCCTCCCAGCCCCTACCCAAGAGCAAATGCGTTTTGGATTTGTAACTTTCCCTCTATCAACAGAATTGCATGGCAAGTTACATATTTGGCTTCAGTATTTCCAAAGAGAAGGGAAAGTACTTGTTCCATGGCTGAGGGTGTACAAAGAATAGAAGTCAGGGGATAAGTGGAAATCCCTCCACAAGACTCTGGCAAGAATAATACAGCAAACTTTCAGGATACAGATTTTACTTTCTGTTCTTTAAAGAATGAATTAGTCCTTAGGAGTCCAGCAATAAAAGCAGAACACTCTGTGTCCACTAGAAAGATGGAGAAACTGAGAGCAGCTGTTAGAAGAAAAGGGAGTTGGAGGGAAAGTCACAGAGGAAGTGCTGCTGCCCAGTAAATGCATATGTAACTGGCATCCCCAGGATACCATGTGGGAGAACATAGCCAACCTTCAGCTCAGTGGGGTCTGTATAGCTCTAGCCTTGCTACACTAAACTATGAGATCTACATGGATGGGGGTCATGGAGAAAGCCTGATGAGAGTGAGAGTCGGGAAGGCATCAAGTGCCCACATCAAGGCTTTCACAGACTCTGAAGTAAGTGATGAGCGCACAATTAAAGTCATTCATAGAAAAAAGGTTGTGAAATTGTGTTACTCTCCTGTCCTGAGAGGCTTGTAACTGTACATTGCACTCTAATGTGACTGGGAGTCTTGGCCATGCTGTTCTTGCTTAAAAAGAAAAAATGGTGAATGAGATAGTTTCATGGCCTCTTCTGGCCTTGAAACTTGATGGCTCCAAAGTTCTTGAAATATCCCCTTCCCTAGGCCCTCAGAGGCAACGGTAATTCAACATGTTGTCCTCTGAGTGCCTGATAGGGCTATGGTTTCAGGGGACACCTTAGAGCTGATCCTGTGGCTCTTGGGGTAAAGGCTACTTTATTTTGTATTGGTCGAATGAGCAACCCTGATTTCTGAAATACTTCTCTCCTAACACCCCACCCCTTCATATGGCCATAGCCTCCTGTGTCCATTTGAATCTGCTACCAGTGCTGGTCCACATGTGTACAAACACTGCTAATAACCCAACACACCATGAGTTCCTATGGCAATGAAGTCTAAGGGAACTTTTCATGCCTGCATTCCAGAGAACTTCCCTATATTTCATTTTATATAAGAGGACCCACTTTTGCTCCACCTGTCCTTAAAAGATAAGTGATCCTCAAAAGGGAAATAATAAATATAACAAAGGATATATCAAAACCCATCTGGCTTTGATAAAGATGGGCTGAGTTTGGTAGCAGGTTCAGACAAGATCATCAGCATATGGGAGAAAACCACAGGTGTTGGGATGACACTCCAGGCTGGAAGTGGGAAAGTGGGGAGAGCTGAGCCCACACTGGTCCACTTCATTTCTTTCCTGTTTGGCCTTTTAAAGACTCAGTTTACTCATTTAATTTCATAATATTAATACATAAAATAAGACCAACACCAATTCTGTCTTGATTGCACATTTGTAAAAAGATGAGGGATGGGTGGATCTGAGCTCTTTCTGGCAATTTCTAAGTGCCATCCTTTTTGTTATTTATTGAAGTTCAAGAATGATGTATATAATTATATAGCTTTATATAAATATATAAAGTTTATATAATATATAGTAGTCCATGATTTTTATTTCCAAGCTTCTGGATTAGGTTTTGTAGAACCTAAAAGGAAAACACTCTCCTAAATCCAAGCATAAGAAATGTGAGTATTTAATATTAATGGATTTTGTCTTGACTGCCATTTTGAAGTTTCTAGCATACAACATGATCTTTTGTTGTAAGGGTACCATGGAGTTTTTTTCTATAAACACTGTTGTACACCACATCTCTAGATCTCCATTGTGTATAACTTTATACTCAGTGAATAGCAAGCTCTCCTGTCCCCTGGAGGGTGGTGGCAGTGGCAGATTTGACGGTCGCCATTCCACATTCTGTGTATGTGCATCAATACACTACAAGTGAGTGGAATTGTATAGTGTGTGCCCTGTAACAGGCTTATTTCACTTGACATCATGGCTTCTGGTTCATCTATGCTTTAGCATGTGAAAAGTTTTTTCTTAGACTCAACCATGTTCTATCTTATGGATACACTCCATTTTCTTCATCTATTTGTCCAGTGGTAGACATTTAGGCTGCTTTTATTTCAAAGGGGGCTGCAAGTATTTCTGTAGATCCCCACATTCAAGACTTTTTTGGATGAAAGTACCCCAAAGTAAGATTGCTGGATGTGTTTAAATATTTGAAACCCCTTCACACTGTTCCATGTAGCAACTCCATTTCTACCAAGAGTGCCTAGAGGTATGTGTGCACTCACACATTTAATAATGCCTCCCTCACACATGTGGGGTGCTGCTCCACTGTGGTCTTCATTAATATAATCCAGATCTTCTTGAGTCCTCCATTGCTTTACTCAGTCCATTCCTTTCCAAAGACCAATTTTCCTTTGCTCTTAGCACCTAACAGCTGTTAGGTCCTAGATGGAGTGACAATGTAAACACAGTCCCTGACTGTGTGAGTTGGGCTGTTCTTGACAGGAATGAAGGAACATTGTGTTTTCTTCCAGAAAGTCAGTGCACATAAGTTAATGAGTCCCAGGGCTCACTGCTTCAACAACTCTGGGACCTCACAAGAGCTGTTTTCGTTGTTTGTTTTTCTGCTTTCCCATCTTAAACAGTTGTGGTCTGTCCTGAGACTCCCTGATCCATGCTTACTATGCTTCCTGACACTGCATCCAGACCTACCGCCTGAAAGGATAGGGCATCTCTTTCAAAGAATGAGAGATCCATTCAGGAACCCCTCCAGGAATCTTACTTATTACCCTGACACTCAATGCCAGTATGTGCACATTAAGAATGGTTGGCTTGTAGTAGTACTTTACTCCCAAGGACACAGCATAGATTAAATGAAGGTCAGACAGATAGAGTTTATCAAGAAAGAAGCAACTGATAGACATTGCTGCCCTCAGGAGTCATTCTAACCTTAAGTCTCCATGGAAGTCTAAGAGCTGCCATTTGTTGAGGTCATTGCTTGAAGCACTGCATATATTATTGTTTACCCAGAAGTCAACACTGTGGAGTTAAGCTCTGCCATGTTCTATTTTATAAATGTGGAGCATGACACCTATGTTGACACATGATATAACAGTTACTTGCAAGGAAGTGACAGAGCCTAGATACAAATCTTAGCAGTCCTCTCCAGACACACTTACAGAACCACTGTACTAAGCTGCCTTTTTGTCTTACAAAGCAAGACCCAACCAGGTCCTCATTTTTTGAGGCCTCTTTTGAGTCGAATACAGTAGCCAGAAAGCTTCTGTAGAGGATCAGAAAGCAAATGTTTCAGGCATTGGGACTGTATCCTAAGCTGTAACCACTCAGTTCTTCCATGGTAGCATGAAAACAGCCACCAACAATTCATAACTAAGTGAACTGTGTTCCAGCAAAGTGTGAATTAGCACGGGTAGCTGGTCAGACATAATCCATGAGTGGTAGTTTGCAGATCCCGTCCAGTGTGTTGGAAGAGTGCTTTTCAAACTGTTGTGCTTACAATTCACCTGGAATCTTTTTTAAAAAATGCTAATTGACTTGGTAGTCTAGGATGAGACCCAGGAAAAATACAAATGTGCTATGAGATGGGTTTTTTTTTTTTTTTTTTTTGGTTTTTCGAGACAGGGTTTCTCTGTGTAGCCCTGGCTGTCCTGGAACTCACTCTGTAGACCAGGCTGGCCTCGAACTCAGAAATCCGCCTGCCTCTGCCTCCCAAGTGCTGGGATTAAAGGCATGCGCCACTGCCGCCCGGCTGTGCTATGAGATGTTGATGACATACTTCCCACTCCTTGACTGAGGAGGCAGGTGAGAGGCTCCCTTCAGAGACCCCAGTAGCACCCGTCATGTGTTCTTCCTACCACAGTAATATGACTTTCCCCAGCTGAAGGCTAGTTTGTCCTAGATAGGAAAGGACGGGTACCAGGGAAGGACCAGACATTGGCAAAGTGGGAAGCTATGATGCTTTTGTAGTTGAAGGCCCAGCTGGACGAACTCTGCCATAATTAGGCCTTCTCTATTTCCTTTCCCACTGGAAATGCCAGAAATCACAGGACAGTTGTTCTCACTGCCTTTGTGGAAAAAAGAATGGAACCATTGAAGGGTGAAGTTCAGCTAGCAAGCCTGTATCACTGCAGGAAAAAAAAAAAAACAAACAGGGATTTCTCAGGAGAGCATCAGGAGGGAGGCATTGTCACAGGCATCTTCCCACATCCTGAACTTTACCTGATCATCCCCATTGCACTGACAGCACTGACAGTCTTTTTAAATCGACCCAGGTTGCTGGAGAGATGACTCAATCATTGAGTACTATCCTGCAAAGAACCAGAGATCAGTTCCCAACACCCATGTCAGGCAGCTCACAAACAACCTGTAACTCTAGCACCATGAGACTGCTGGCACCTGCACTCACACATGCACATTCTCCTGTACAGATATCTACATAAACACATACTTTAAAAATCCAAACCCAAAAGTAAGTTCAAACACCATGAAAGAAACAAATGAAACTGGTTAGGACCCATTCCTGCAGCAAGGTGGCAACAATGAATGAGCAGATTCTGCTTAGAGGTGACAGAGACTCTGTGGACACCAAGTCACCTGACAGATCTACCGAGCTGCTCTCGCTCTAACTGAGGCTTCTGGCTGCCTCCCCAGCACAACTCACCTGACCAAAGGCCCATGGAAACTCTGCTTCTCTGGAAACAACAAGATTGGAGGAGAAGAAAGAGGAGAAAGAGGAGGGAGAGGAGGGAGAGGAGGAGGAAGAAGATGAGAAGGAGGAGGAAGAGGAGGAGGAAGAGGAGGAGGAGGAGGAAGAAAAAGAGAACACTGTCAGATATCTCCTCACTAATGTGGCATTGGATTTCTCCAAATACTTCCTGCATTCTGCCCTTACTTGCAGGCATGTCTATAGAAGTAAGTGTTATAGGTTTTGAAATGTGAGCAGTTGGTGGCTGGGAGGTATAATAAATGGAAAAGGAGGAGGAACTGAATCAAGATCCAAATGTAGAGGACATGGCTCTTTTCTTGAGACAGGTCTTTATGAAGCCCAGGCTAATCTTGAACTTATGATCCTTCCTCCTTTTTTATCTCCAAAGTGCTGTGATTATAAGTACCATGACCAGCCAAAACCCATCTCCTTAAGTAAGATTATCTACTTAACCCAAGGTAGTCCCTGTGGTCAACACTGTTTGTTTAGGAAATAGAAGGTAATTTAGTATTAAAGTGTTACAGCAGTAGCCAATAAGTCTACATGTGGATAACCCACCCTGGGGCCGTCGCTGCTGGCTCCATTACTCCATGTCTCCGCAGCACTTGGTTGTTACATGCAAGGGACAATTGGCTATAATTACCCCCAGAAACTTTAATTCATGAGGAGGAAACCAAGCTCAGAAGTCTCTGAGAACAAATAAAGGGACTAATGTGGAACTAGAGAAATGACTCAGGGGTTAAGAGTGCTTGTTGCTCTTCCAGAGGACTGAGTTCAGTTCCCAGTGCTCTGGTTGGGCAGCTGACAACCACCTAGAACTATAGATAGACCCAAGGAATCCAATGACCTCTTCTAGACTCTGAGATAACTACACTCTCTCACACACACAAACACACACACACGCACACACACGCACACGAGGGAGGTGGGGGGGGGGAGAGAGAGAGAGAGAGAGAGAGAGAGAGAGAGAGAGAGCATACAGAGAGAAAAAGACATACATATACATAATTAAAATAAAATGTTAAAAAGAGAGAGACTCTTTAACAGAATCTTGACTTACCTATGATGATTAACTGAGTTTGGAGACCTGTACCAGTCCACTGACTCCCTTCCCTGTACCCCTTGCTGTGGAGTCGTTCTGTCCTCATGGATACTAGAAAGATTAGCCTTGAAGCTGTGTATAAAGTGCCTGCATGTCGTGCCACCAGGAGAAATAGAGCTTGCTTAGGGAGGGAAATCTCTTCTATAATTCACATGCTTTATTAGTGCCACTCCTGTGAACTCCAATTGCAGCAACATGAGAGCAGGCTAGCTCCTTTTCATCTTCAAATGCTTGTGCTGAAACAACCCTCTATTATCTCTGAAAACAATTATTTCAAGTGGAGAGAAAATACCTTTTATTAAGGCTTCCTGGGCCACTGGGAGAGTCACATGTTTGTTTGACTTTTTCTTGAGAACAGACTCTATTATGGAGATGGTTGAGGCAGGGAGTTGGATAAGAAAGCTTTACAGAAATCTTGAGGTTAGCATTATGCCTTAGACAACCATGCACTTCTCTGATTCTTTCTAGCTTCTGTCCTCTGACCTTGCTCTTGTTTCCACTGGAGAGATTACCTGACTCCTGTCCATGCTCCATGTGGGCCTAAAGACCAAGTCAAGCCTCCTCTTCTTCAACTAGCATCGTGTGGTCTTACAGCCAAAGCTGTCCCTCTCCTTTTGGGTTATGTACATTATCTCTGCAGTCAAGCCCCCCCCCACACACACATACTGCCTTCCATAAAGTTATCTGAGGGCGGTGAGCACAAGTATTTCTTTAGTTCCCCATTGTATCCCTGCATCTGTCTGTCTGTCTGTCTGTCTGTCTGTCTGTCTGTCTATATGTATATAGATATATAGCTACTGCATAGTTGATACAACATAAATACTATTTACTTGAAGATTACATTTATTAACCCTAATGTATAAAATATGTGAATAATTCCAAAGAAGTAATTTTCAAGAGAAGAGATAGACACCGAAACAAAAGGGGGTGGCAAATTTTCATTGTGAAGACCTTATTATGTCCTCAGT